TCTTTTCTCCCAATCCTTTTTTTCTCGGAAATGTAAAATAAAAAGAAAAGAGTAACTCCTATAAACTGATTTGTGTAAAATATTAACACCATTTATTAGGCCATCTAAACTATTATTACACGTAATTTTTCATAATAAGTAGAATTAATAAGGATAAAATACAATTGGTTGGTCGATCGAAACTAATTGTATATTATATGAATATAATACTGTCACGACCCGGATTCCCACCCTCGGGAGTCGTGATGGCACCTACTAGTACGAGCTAGGCAAGCCAATTAATTTCGCAATTTACCCTTTTTACTCATTTATATTCATTAGCAATTTTAATAACAATAATAACATTTAAACAGCGGAATTTAACATAAGCGGAAGAAAGAAGCCATAAGCTATCTGAACACGAATATCTAATACAACTGTTTGAACCTCGACTAGTACTAACTCAATAATATCATACGAACTTATCCGTGCGATCAAATCGCCAAAATAACATCATAAACATCGAATTAAACCTCAAAATCCATGAATTCCTTCAAACTTCTTAAAACATCAAATTTTCCATTTAAAGTCCGAATCACGTCAAATGACATCCGTTTCTCACCAAATTTCACAGAATCATCTTAAATCATATATAAGACGTGTACCGGGCGCCGGAACTAAAATACGGGCCCGATACCAACATGTTCTAATCAAATTTCATTTCAAAATCCTTTAAACAATTTCAGAAAATAATTTTCTTTAAAAATCCTTTTCTCGAGCTTGGGACCTCGGAATTTGATTCCGGGCATACGCCCAAGTCCTATATTTTCCCACGGACCCTCCGGGACCGTCAAATCACGAGTCCGAGCCCATTTACCAAAAATATTGACCGAAGTCAACTTAAATGCATTTTAAGTCAAAAATTCGATATTTCACAGATTTTTCACATAACAGCTTTCCGACCACACGCCCGGAATGCGCACGCTAATCGAGGTAAAGATAAAAGAGGTTTTTAAGGCCTCGGAACATAGAATTTAATTTAAAAGCAAGTGATGACCTTTTGGGTCATCACATTCTCCACCTCTAAAACAACCGTTCGTCCTCGAACGGACATAAGAAGGAAGTACCTGAATACCCTCTGCTGATACAACATGACCCAGACATGCAACTGAACCCCACCAGAACTCGCACTTCAAGAACTTAGCATATAACTGACTTTCCCTCAGCGTCTGAAGAACCACTCTAAGGTGCTGCTCGTGCTCCTCCCGGCTGCGGGAATATATCAAAATATCATCAATGAAGACTATCACGAACAAATCCAAATAAGGCCTGAACACTCGGTTCATCAAATCCATGAAGGCTGCTGGGGCATTTGTCAACCCGAATGACATAACCAAGAACTCATAATGCGCGTACCGAGTGCGGAAAGCTATCTTAGGGACATCGGATGCCCTAATCCTCAACTGATGGTAGCCAGATCTCAAGTCAATCTTTGAAAATACCTTGGCACCCTGAAACTGATCGAACAAATCATCAATCCTCGGCAGCGGATACTTATTCTTGATTGTAACCTTGTTCAATTGCCGGTAATCAATACACATTCTCATTGACCCATCCTTCTTCTTAACAAACAACATCGGCGCACCCCAAGGAGAAACACTGGGTCTAATGAAACCCTTTTTAAGCAAGTCTTGCAACTGCTCCTTCAACTCTTTCAACTCGGGCGGGGCCATACGATACGGCGGGATAGAAATGGGCTGAGTGCCCGGAGCCAAATCAATGCAAAAGTCAATATCCCTATCGGGTGGCATACCCGACAGGTCTGAAGGGAACACCTCAGGAAACTCACAAACGACGGGCACAAAATCAATAGAAGGAACCTCAGCACTAGAATCACGAACATATGCCAAATAGGCCAAACACCCCTTCTCGACCATACGCCGAGCCTTCACATAAGAGATAACACTACGGGTAGAATGACCAGGAGTCCCTCTCCACTCTAAACGAGGCAAACCCGGTAAGGCTAAGGTCATAGTCTTGGCATGACAGTCCAAGATAGCGTGGTAAGGTGATAACCACTCCATCCCCAATATAACATCAAAATCAACCATGTCCAGAAGCAACAAATCTACACGAGTCTCAAGACCCCCAATCACCACAATACAAGAACGATGGACTCGATCTACCACAATAGAATCACCCACCGGGGTAGACACATAAACAGGGGCACTCAAAGAATCACTAGGCATGACCAGACACGGCGCAAAATAAAACCGAAGCTTCTCTACCACAAACCAGAACAGTACCTGCACCTCCACCTCTAATACCTTTACCTCCACCTCTAGCATCTCTACCTCCACCTCTAATACCTCTACCTCCACTTCTAGCTAACTGAGCGGGCTGGACGAGTCCCTCAATGAACCTCCTCACTCTCTCACAGTAGGAAGCATGATAAGATCATGATGAGCCAAGTCGATGAATCTGATCTAGTATTGAGCAACAGTCATAGAACTCTGCTGGAGACGCTCAAACTGCCTCCGATAGGCCTCTCTCTGAGTGATGGGGAGAAACTTCTCCAGAAATAGCTGCGTTAACTGTTCTCAAGTCAAAGCTGGTGACCTCACTGGTCTAGCCAAACAATAATATCTCCAACAGGCCTTGGCGGATCCAGACAAGCGAAAAGTAGCAAAATCAACCCCATTGGTCTCCACGATCCCCATGTTTCTGAGAACCTCATGACACTGTCTAGACAATCTTGGGGATCCTCAGAAGATGCACCGCTGAAAGTAGTAGGGAAGAGCTTGGTGAAACTTATCCAACCTCCACAAGGCCTCCGAAGACGTAGCTGATCTATCACCGGTTTGTGCTGCTGCTCGGCTGAAGAAGCGGTACGTGACTTTGCCATTAGCGAAAGGACAAGAGTAGAGGTTTCAATCAGCATTCAGAAACCAAGCCGCACGACAAGAAAGAACAAATGTGAAGTTTTTCCTAACTCTGTAGCCTCTGGGGGATAAATACAGACGTCTCCGTACCGATCCCTCAGACTCTACTAAGCTTGTCTGTGAACTGTGAGACCCATGTAACCTAGAGCTCTGATACCAACTTGTCACGACCCAGATTTCCAGCCTCGGGAGTCGTGATGGCGCCTACTAGTACGAGCTAGGCAAGCCAATTAATTTCGCAATTTACCCTTTTTACTCATTTATATTCATTAGCAATTTTAATAACAATAATAATATTTAAACAGCGGAATTTAACATAAGCGGAAGAAAGAAGCCATAAGCTATCTGAACACGAATATCTAATACAACTGTTTGAACCTCGACTACGCAGAACTGGTGTCATAGTATCACAGACGGTCTAAGATTTACTACAAATACACTTGTATACAAAATGTATATATTTATCGATTATTATTTTTTTGGAGCATATTTCTCAATTAATAATTCAGAAAATCAAGCAATTTACACATTACAAGAATTAATATTTATTGTTAGAGTCTGTTTAGAAAGCCACCTAGGAATTTGATTTTGGTGTAATTATATAGTTTGACATGTTTGTGTGGCCAAGTAATTACTTGGTTAGCATGGAATTGGGTGTAATTGGAGAGGTGTAATTACACTCTCCAATTCTCAAGGGGGAAGTGAGGAATTGGAGCCCGTTTGGATGGGCTTGTTTCAAGTGACTTTTAAACCAAAATAGCTTTTAAGCTATAAGTTAGGAATTCTAACTTTCAGCTTTTGGCTTGTTTTTATCATTTTAGCTTAAAAATAATTGCTTAAAAGCGCTTTTTTACTTTATCCATACAGTACAAAATGCTTAAAAGCTATTTTGGCTTAAAAGCACTTAAAACAAGTCAATCCAAACAGGCTCTTGGTGATAATTACACTGTGTAATTATAAGGTTACTTTTAAATTTCTTTCCTTTTTGTTTTTATTTTAATTTGTTTTCTTTAACTTTTTATTTCCATCATTTTAATTTCTTTTCACCTTTTTTTAAAAAAAAAAATTTAAAGTATATTTTTCGTTGTACATTATTTATCTTTTATTTCTCTATCTTTACTTCTTGTGATTCCATGTAATTGCTCGTACATTTTATTTCTTATTTGTTTTATTTTCTTCATTTTGCGTAACTGCGTTATTTATTCTAGTTTTTAAAACTACACCTCATAATATTAGAATAACGAGTCATTAACAAACTTGGCATATAATGAGTGATGTCCTTAAGTAGAATTTCGTTGTTGAATGAGTTATAAACTTATATGATTCCTAATCTTAAGTTATATTGGAACTTATTTTTATTATATTGGAATTTGACATACGTTAAACTATGTTTTTTTTTTTTGGATTCTAAAATTGTGTTATATTTTGTTATTTTACATTTCATGTGTTTCATTTTTAGTTAGAATTGATAGATTAATTTTGTCAAATATTTGAATAATATTATGACATTATATTTATATATATTAATTTATTTTATCAAACATGAATTCCACGATGTTCTTATAAAACGTATGTTTTTAGTTTTTATAATTAATTAAGATAAATATTATTAATTTGGAATTATTTTTACAATATTAGTTATAGATATATGATTACTAAGAAGAAAATATGCATCTTAAATACCAAAGCTAATATCATTTATACTTATAAAAAATCATTCATAGGCATATTTATTATATTAACTTTAAAATTTTTGATAATTACTTCATTTAAAATTTAATTTAGTTATATAATTACACTTGTGCAACTAAACAGTACGTTTATAATTACACTGTAATTAACAAATAAACAAACAAGTCATCGTTATTACTATATTCTGTAGTTAGTAGGCTAGTAATTACACCAATTTTAATTATCGGGTGATTTTCCAAACAAACCTTTAGTATAAAATGCAGTGGAATAGGAGTTATTAGTTATATAAGATCCGAAGGGGGTGCGCCAAATTCCGTACGCGTAACTATATGAATTCAACTCAATATATTTGACAGTTATTTTCCCTCTTCTACCTCGATTCCTCTCCTCCCTTTTTCTCTCAATTTCATACACTTTTCAAGCCATTAATTTCTCTCTCTCTCTCTCCCCCTCTCTGATTTGGGTTTCTTAATTTCAAAAAATTTCAAGTGTTGAAGTTTCTTAATTAGTTGATTAATGCAAAATGGGAGCAGTTACTGTGATCAAGAACCCACATTCTCCATCTTCAAAATCTTGGTAATTTTCTCTTCATCTTTGTTTGTATTTCTGTTTAGTTAAAGTTTTCTTAATGGGCAAATTCAAGATTTACTCTGTATTTTTTTTGCTGTTTAGTTGATTTGTTTCTCTTTTTTGAATAATCCACAGTCATAATATGATGGAAAAGGGATTGGAATCAAGTTACGTACCAACTAAAGAAATAAACAAGAGCAAGATCAACAACATGAAAAATGAAAGAGTTAGTAAGTCTAAGGCTAATACTACTACTATTAGCAATGCAGCATCAAAGAAGCATTGCCTATGTGCACCCACCACCCACCCTGGCTCATTCAAGTGTCGTCTTCACCGCGCCGCCACCACTACTACATCTCACAAAAGAATCGGTAAATACTTCTGCTACGAAAAAGGGTTGTGATAAGAAACGTTCAATTTTTTAGTATTCTCATGCGCCCTCTTCTTTTATTCCAGTTTCATCATCAGCTCGTCATGTAAATGGCGTCATATATAGTAAAAACTTGATTTTCACAAAGTTAGTAGCGCCATCACAAAGTGGCGGAGTCAGAAATTTTAACGAGGCGAATGTACATGGCCAGCACGGACTATCAAGATTCGGGAGGGCTGCTCTTGCTGCTGCTGATGCTGCTACAACTTCTAGTGTACAAGTTCAAACAATCTCAGCAGCATTGAGACAAATGAGTCTGAATTAGAGAGCCAAAAGAAAAAAAGAATGAACTCAAAATCAAGATTCTGTTTTTTAGAAAGAAAAATACTTGATTACTATAGCTTAGTATTTTTGTGTAAATGGAGTAATTTTCCTTTTTGCTGAGGGTGATTTGTAAATAGAAACATATGAACAGGATTACCTGCAGCCATATGCAAGTTTTTTGTATTGTGTGGCTTATTATAGAAATTTATATTGGGAACATATAATACTTATATTGATGTTAGCTTGACTGCACAATTCATATGTTACCCGTCTTTTTTAGATCTTTAATACTAAGAAAACACCTTTGTTATAAAACGATAAAAGTAGAAGAACAATATTGCAGAGAAAAGAGAGAGGAAATTTTTATTGAATTTGGGATGAATTACAATGGAATAGAACCCTCTATTTATAGGGAGATGGTGACTTAGCCACCAAGTAATAAACCCTAGAATCTCTCTAAATATAGACATTCACCATAAATAGAACTCTATTTATAACACTCCCCCTTGAATGTCTATTCAACAGATAATGTGCCTCGTTAAAACCTTAACTAAATAAAACCCCGTGGGCAAAAAATTCTAGAGAAGGAAAAAGAGTACACATATCTAACAATACGCCTTTTGGTTGCCTCGTTAAAAACCTTGCAAGGAAAACCCAATGGGACAAAACCTTGTAAGGGAAAAAGAGTACAACGCGTATTAACTCCCCCTGATGAGAGCATCAATTCACATCTATAAGCATTTGCATTCCAATCTTGTGCAGCATCTTCAAAAGATCTTTGGTAGAGATTTGACGAACAAATCAGCCATATTAACTTGAATGAATACATTGCACCTTGAAATCATTATTCTTGATAGAGATGAATTGTCTTCAAATGATCTTGTTGGAATCGCCAATTCAATATCTTCACATAGAGGTGAAAACTCTTGGTATCATATTATCATGCCTATAGTTATAGCAAGATACATTTGTGCACAAATTGCACTGAGGAAGTGGTACTTCAAGATCAAGAATTGTATATGTTTCAAACGATTTAAATCCTTCAAGGATTGTCATACAAGTCATATAATAGACTTTAATTAGATGCATATCAAGTTTTCATGTCATGCTAGTGTCACGACCCCAAACCGGACCCGGTCGTGATGGCACCTCTCGTGAAAACAAGGCCAGCCGACACAATTTTCCAAGTCAACCATTTTCCATTAAAGGTTGTTTTTATGCCATTTATAAGCCATTAATCTCATAAGGAACATTTAAAAGCAAAATGCGGAATAATAACATAAGCCCGACATCGGGGTGTCACTAGTCATGAGCATCTACCAAGGTCTGAATACAACAAAAACCGTAAAATGTACTAAGTACATAAATGAAAATGAGAGGAAGGAAGCGGTGCTGCGAACGTCGTACAGCCACCTTGCTAACTCTGATGACTCCGCGTCTGAGCAACCAACACCCGCTATCGGGTTCCGAAATACCTGAATCTACACACTAGGTGCAGGGAGTAATGTGAGTACTCCAACCCAGTAAGTAATAAGAGTAAATAAAGACTGAGCAGTAGGAAACAATGAATTACACATTTATATTAAACTCAATAAGCACACAGGCTGCTAAATCAGAATACGAGTCAATTGCCTCTTTTAAAATCCAGCTTTTGGTAAAAATCATTTATAATGCCTTCCGACGGTTCAGTAGGGATTCAATACCATTTTTAATAAAAGAGCTGAAAAACCATAATCGGCCCCTCTGGCAAAATATAGTTCGTAAACAGCCCCTCGGGCAAAACAGGAGTCATAAACACCTCCTAACAAGAAAATCTCCGTGGAAATAACAAAGGTCAAATCAATGATTAAGTTCTGAACATCTCATAAAACCCAGCTTAAATGAAAGTTGTTTAAAAATATTTATCTAACATTTTCGACAGAGGCTCAGTTTAAAGATGAGTGAAAGCAGTCATTAAATCAACATATTCGATAGAAACTCACTTTAAAGAGAAGTGAAAATCAATAAGATCATAATCAGGACCCTCAGGCAAAGCATCAATCATATGCATGTATATATCTATCGCCCCTCGGGTAAGCCTCTCAGTCACTCGTGACTCAACTCTTACCAATCAGCGCTCACACTCAACACTCACACTCAGTAGGTACCATATAGTAACCGCTGCGGCGTGCAGCCCGATCCATATATTGCTGCAGCGTGCAGCCCGATCCATATATATAGTCGACTGCGCTCACTGGGGGTGTGCAGACTCCGGAGGGGCTCCTACAGCCCAAGCGCTATATCGTTGCGGCATGCAGCCCGATCCAACATATCGCTGCGGCGTGCAGCCCGATCCATATAAGCATCGCTGCGGCGTGCAGCCCGATCCATAGACATATATATACATATATTGTTGCGGCGTGCAGCCCGATCCATAGGTATATAATCCTCACAGCCAGGCCCTCGGCCTCTCTCAGTCATTAACCTCACCATCAGACTCTCAGTCTATCTCAGTCATCAACCTCACAATCAGACCCTCGGTCTATCTCAGTCATCAACTCACGATCACTCGGACCATCAGTAAAACAGGGAACCCAGCCCAAACAGTTTTCACATTTTTAAGAAATATAGTGATAAAACCAGATTTAAACAATAACCAGGTAAAAACATGACTGAGGATATGCTTTCAAAACAAATAGAGTGAGGAAAAATAGTAAAAATGCCCTTAAGGGTCTCAACAGGTCGGCACAAGGCCCCAAACATCGCGTACAGCCCAAAATATAATAATATTTAACAATTAGCTATCAAATACGCATTAAAATAATCATTTGGGATGGACTAAGTCACAATCCCCAGTGGTGCTCTACCCCACGCTCGTCATCTAGCATGTAAGTCACCTCAACATAGCACAACGATGTGTAATCCGGGGTTTCAAACCCTCGGGATAGTATTTACAATCATTACTTACCTCGAACCGGCTAAATCTCTAGCTCGCGACGCCTTTGCCCCTCAAATCGGCCTCCACGCGCGTCTAATCTATCCAAAATCAGAACGAATACGTCACAATATGCTAAGGGAACAAAACCCAAGCGAAAACAATCGAAAAATACCAAAAATTCCGAAATTAGCAAAACCCGAGCCCCGGGCCCACTTCTCGAAACTCAAAAATTTTCACATCATTAGTTTCTTCATCTCCCCACGAGTTCATACATATCAACAACATCAAAATCCGACCTCAAATGGCCCCTCAAATCCCAAATTTACACTCTCCAAATTCAAGCCCTAATTCCTCAATTTTTAGGCTTAATTTCCATGGATTTCAAGCTTACAATGATAAAATTCATCATAGAAACAAGTTTAGGGTCCAAAAATCTTACCTCCATAAAACCCTCTTGAATTCCCTCTTCAATTAGCTCTCCATAAAACCCTCTTGAATTTCCTCATCTCCCCACGAAGCACAAATTTCCTCTTCGCAAACGTGACACCACAAGCGCGAACGCGATGCCTCAGCCTCACCAACCTACGCGAACGCGACCATGACTCACGCGATCACGATGCTTACAAAACCAGCCTTTCGCGAACGCGGGACTACCCTTCGCGAATGCTAAAGCCAAACCTGACGCCTCCTCACCTGGCCCTTCGCGAACGCGAGGGTCCTCTCGCGAACGCGAAGACCAAAACACCTGCAACAGCTGAATCATTTTTTCTGCAATTTTCCTTGACTCAAAATGATCCGATTGAGCACCCGAAACTCACCCGAGCCCCCCCGGGACCTCAACCAAAAGCACCAACACATCCCAAAACCTTATTCAAACTTGTTCCAATCATCAAAACACCTCAAACAGCATCAAATTACCCAAACACGTCGGATTCAAGCCTAAGAATCCCAAAATCTTTTGAAATACGTTTTTGATCAAAAACCCAACCAAACCACGTCCGAATGACCTGAAATTTTACACACACATCCCAAGTGACATAACGGAACTACTGCAACTTCCGGAATTTCATTCCGACCTCTATATCGAAATCTCACCTATAAACCGGAAAATGCCGAAATCTTAATTTCGCCAATTTAAGTCTAAACCTTCCACGGACCTCCAAAATGCATTCCAATCACGCTCCTAAGTCCCAAATCACCTAACCGAGCTAACCAAATCATAAAATTTCCAATTCGAGATCATATACAAACAAGTCAAATCTTGGTCAAACCTTTCAAATTTCAAGCTACAAACTAAGAATTGTTCTTCCAAATTCATTCCGATTACCCTGAAAACCAAAACCAACGATTTACATAAGTCATAATACATCACACGGGGCAAGTCATGCCCGAGAACTGGCGATCAAAGTGCAAAAGCTCAAAACGACCGGTCGGGTCGTTACACCTCCCCCGCTTAAACACATGTTCGTCCTCGAGCGTGCCTAGAGTTGTTCCAAAAGCAAACCCATCGCTGAATAACCTTACCATGCATAAACCCGGGGGTGATCCCACGTCACCCTATCTCATATAGGTCTGATAACACATATAAACTGAAATTTCACAATGCCATCTAGCCCATAAACCATAGAATCACATTTCCACCTCTGAAATCCTCAATGCGATCAGAATCTCACATTTATACTGCGAATAAGCCCGAACAAGCTGTAATAACCCCTACCTGCAACCTCAGGTGCAATTACAAGATATACCACATAACTCAAACACTTGTAGCGGTAACTTCTATTCACAGCAGCTGCACACAACAACCGAATACCGATAGAAAACCTCTTATCAACTAAAGTCTCATCCCAACACTTTCATATACTGCCAGATATACATAATACGCACAGTATGCCATAACCATTCCTCAGGTCAACCACTCATGAAGCCACTTCTCCTTTGGCAAAGACCATAGCAATTTCTGAGCCGAACATCAATATTATCCCTCCAACACGCTGAAACCGAATCCGTTTGTATTCATTCTAGATCCCGACGATCTCATCCAATTCCAACACAACTACTCTGGTGACATGACACACCAATACAATCTAAAGCCACAACTCGTGCAATCCGCGCACTAATAAGCAACAATCTGAACGTACTCAAATCATGAAAATGACTCAAATGAGAGAGCTGTACCACAAGCTCACAAGTACCACTACGCCAAATGCTGCGAGCCCGTCGCACCTCGTAGAAACATAACACACGAATCTAACCCGCAAGGTCATACCTCCACATAACTTCGTTGCAATGC